GGTGGAGAAATCAGCATTGGTGTGATAAACCGAGGCGTGGAAATATCAGCATTGGTAATGAGACAGGAAACCTAGGTCTCAGTTTGGTACAGGAGGATTCAGTCCAAGAGGATGTAAAGAATAAATGGAAATAAGTCTGAAGAAGTGCGCAGTGACTCATAAAAGCACATACCCTACCACAATTTTGTTAGTCTACTAGAAGGTGCTACTGGACTCTTATTCTTTGTACTACTATTAGAAACCACAACATTCAAGAACCAGTGGGAGAACATTTTAACTTTCCAGGAATCCAGGGCATTCAGCTGCTGACGTAAGAGTAACAGTTCTCTTACAAAGAAATTTCAAAGGGAGATTAGAAAGAGAGACTGCTGAATTGCAACTGATCATGAAGCTCAAGACAATGCAAACTGGACTTCCGATTTATGGCGACACGCTGAGCAGACTCATCTCCCGGACCTCCCAGGGATGAAATCTGCGCACCAGCAGAAAGGAGGGGGGGCGACGTCTTGCTACCCCACCCCCGGAGCCTGGTTTAAAGGCTCCTAGCCATGGGACTTTTGAGAGATGGCTTCTTCGCCAGCGCGATGCTGGGGAATCAAGGCGCTTCTCCGTCCTGACGGCCCTCCTGCTGTGTGTCCGTATGGAACTAGTGACGCTGACCAGGACAAGCGCTGGAGATCGAGCAGTTTAAACGGAGTTACAGTGAGGTCACAAGACCGATTATGAACTGTGAGTCGGATTAGAGCGTAATTGACATTTTAAAAAGAAAGCTCCCACCCCAAGGACTAGGAAAGAAAGCGAGCGGGGGAGGCCCCCCCCCCAAGCGCACGAATTTAAATGCGAGACCCAAGGGGGGAGTGGAAGCAAAAACGCTGAAATCTGTTGAGAGAGACTTACCAAGGTGCGTATGAGCGTATATTCAGAGACTTTAGCAAATGTTCGGAAAGTAAACAATCCATAAAGATGGCGGGGAAGAGGACTGAGAAAGAAAAACTTTTAAAAGCAAAAGCAGATGGGAGGCCCTCGTCCGGAAGCAACCACCGAGTTGGCTAAAACGTTGGCAGAATCCCTGTGCCCCCTGCTGGACCAGATGACTAATCTCAAGGAACAACTGTCAATGATAAACCAAAGCATCACTACTCAGCAGCTTCAATTTAATGAGACTCTTAAAATCACGGAGCAAACAGCTGAGAAAGTGAAAGAAGTTGACGCCAGTATCCAAAAGGTGAAGAAAAAGGTGCAAAGATTAGAAAAGAAGCAAATTTCTACAGAAGAACAACTTCTACAGCTACAAATGGAAAAGGCAAACTTGGTCCTTCGATTCCAAGGTGTCCCAGAATTCAAAGGCGAGAATCTGAAGCAAGTGATGAGCGATGCATTAGCTCCAGTGACAGATTTGAAGGCGGAGTATCGTATGAGCGAAATGGATGTGGCCTACAGGTCCTATTCCGTATACATAAAGAAGAATAATCTGCCTGGGGAAATAGTAATGAGATTCTCGAAGAGGCACGTCAGGGATTCTATCCTGAGAGCGATGGCGGGGACACCCTTGAAAATTGGGGATAGTACCATCAGGATTCTGAAAGACATTCCATTTGAAATAAGACAAAGGAGAAAGAAATATAAAGATTTAATTCTTTTTCTTCAAACAAATGCAATTAGCTATAGGTGGTTATATCCAGAGGGCGTAACCTTCAAACTTCAGGATAAAAAAGAAAAGATTGACTCTGTTTCCAAAGCACGGGACTTTTTGAGAATCCAGTTGGGTGAGCCAGAGGAGGTGGATAAAAAGGAGAAGGACAGTAAGTCCAGTGGCGAGCTGGACTCGGGGTCTTCTGGAGAGGACTCTCTTTCTGAAAAAGGGGCGGCTGCCCCTAAAAGTCCATATAAACTGAGGAAAAGACAAGAAAAGAAAAAATGAAGGCTGAAGGACTCTGAATTGTGCCTTTGAAAATATGGTTTTTAATAATGGGATGCTCTGGTGTTTCTAACAGTTAAATTTAAGTGTTAAAAGATATTTTAGCATGTCTGACTAAGTTCAAAAGATATCAGCGATTTAAGGAATAATTTTGTACTTAAGCTGTTTTAATGATCGCCTTCTCTTGGGATTTTAGTTAGTAGTGGGTATCTTTACTTTCTCCTTAATTGTAGTTCCCTTCCCTTATTTCTTTGTAGTTTGTAGTCCAATTAAAAAAGCAATAAAAAATCCCCTCCGGGAGGCCAAAAAAAAAAAGACAATGCAAACTGCTGGACTGAATCGTCTGCTATTGTCATTTGGGGTCTGAAATCATTTCACTCTCCAAGATATGACAGATAGACTCACATTCCAGCTGTATCTGAAGAAGTGAGTAGTGATTCATGAAAACTCATGCCCTGCCACTAATTTTGTTAGTCATTAAGGTGCTGCTGTACACTTGCTCCCTTTCACTAATAAGGAATGCTGTTAAGTTTCTCCCTGGAATAAAACATTTTTGGTGTTAAACACAGGAGACTCTCTCTCTCTCTCTCATGCCTGGTATATA